CGGACCTATCACACCCCTCTTTACATAACACAACACGGACCTATCACACCCCTATTTACAAACTATTCATTATCATTACAACCTCCTCTCCCCCCCAGGTCATAACACACCTATCACACCCCTCGTTACAAATTAATAATCAAATCACCCATTCCTTACCATTACAACCTCGTCTCCCCCCCAGGTCATAACACAACACGGACCTATCACACCCCTCTTTACAAACTATTCATTACCATTACAACCTCCTCTCCCCCCCAGGTCATAACATACGACAGCGACAGAGGCGGCGTGAGCGTGGTAACCGAGAAGGGCCCACGCACCACCACCAACCTTCTGGTCCGCGGGGCATCGGCAAAGGACTCGGGTACTTATACGTGTAACCCCAGCAGCGCTCCCTTAGCCAAAGTTATCGTCCATATCTTAAATGGTGGGTATTTTTCAAGTACTGAATTATTAGTGTTTTGATGATTGTTGTTGTTGCTGTTGTTATTTTTATAATGATTGTTATTATTACTATTGTTATTATTATTATTATTATTATTATTATTATTATTATTATTATTATTATTATCATTATTATTATTATTATTATTATTATTATTGTTATTATTATTATTATTATTATTATTATTATTATTATTATTATTATTATTACTATTATTATTATTATTATTGTTATTATTATTATTATCATTATCTTTCACTTATTCGTAGATATTTCTCGCGTGTTTATGCTTCCTTTATTAATTGTTTATATTTATTTATTTATCTGCTTTTTTCTATTTAGGATATATTTTGTATCTATGCATATGATACACCAAAGGACTCGCATATGTTTTCCCTTATTATCTATCTTTATTAACTTATTTATCTATTTGTTTGTAATGAGATATATGTTTTGGAATATATTGTATATTTAATTATATATTTTTGTTTTTTACTTAGATATATGATATGTTTTGGAGTATATTATATATTTAATTATGTATTTTTGTTTTTACTTAGATATATGATATGTTTTGGAGTATATTATATATCAATTAATCTGTTCATTTGCTTTAATATAACATGTGATATATTTTGGAATATTGTATTATGAGGTTATATAAGAATCAAAGTATATCATCTTGCTATGGACTGTAAAGAAAATTTATCACGTTTAACTAAAACATATGCAATATTTATTTACCTCTTTGTTTGGGTTTTCATAATCATCGTCGTTTATCATTTATCAAATTTGTTTTATTGGAACACCCGTACAGATTTAAAAAATAAAAATAAAACATCAACAACCACAATCGAAAATAGAAGAAAAAAAAAACGTTTTTTTTTCTGATCCAATCCATGGTGTGGAAATTTTGTCTGGAAACTTAATTCCGATAATGGTATGTAAATTGCCGTGTTAATTCGATCAAAATTCTACTGCTCTGCTAAGCCCATAATAACTTTTTTTTTTTTTTTTTTTTTTTTTTTTTTTTTTTTTGCAATTTTTCCCGTACGGATTATTTAGGATAATCTTTTTTCTTTTCAATCATTAGCATATTGAGATCGTGCATCTGAAGAAATCAATTTACTTCGCTTTCAATATGATTATGTAATGATGAATAGTAATATCAGGGATATAGTAATGATGATAAAAATGGTAGTGATTATGATAATCCTGATAATAAGAATGATTATGGTAATGATAACAGTAGTGACGATGGTGATGATGATGACGATGATGCTAAAACAATAGTACTAAGGATAATAATACTATCCATAACAATTATGCTGATAAATAAAATAATTATGACAATACTAATGATAATCATAACAAACCCTCCCTCTATTTAATCACTACTTTCGTAAACTTAGTGCGTACCCCTGTCTTTCGGCACAGGAGAGCACCCAGCGGCAATGCAGCACGGAGGCCATTCCCCATATGAAGTCTCGGCTTTTCTCTTGACCTTCGCATTTGCTTTCGTTGTGGTATTCAAGTAGGACGTCGGAGGCAGAACAGGCGTCCTCTTGGAGTCGAGGAACACAAAGGCTGGGTTTACGTGAAGCCTGGGTCTACATGAAGCCTGGGTTTACGTGAAGCCTAGGTCTACGTGAAGGCCGGATCTTCATACATGCTGGGTCTACCTAAATGCTGGCTGTACATGGAGGCTAGATTTACATAAATGCTGGGTCTACGTGTAGCTGGATCTACATACATGTTGGGTCCACATGAAGGCTGGGTCTACATAAATGCTGGGCCTACGTGAAGCTGGACCTACACAAATGCTGGGTCAACATAAATACTGGATCTACATAAATGCTGGCTCTACCTGAAGGCTGAATTTGCATAAATGCTGGATCTACATGAAGGCTGGCCCTATGTGACTTTTTTTTTGTACAGGTCGTGTTTAGTGGAAAAATTCAAGAATTAATAGATGAACTCGTGGTTCTATTAAATGTTTGGTGGTGGCGTTCAATTGTTATGGGAAATTCAGGAAGAAAATTCAAGGATTGA